GTAGGGGTGAGGGAGAAGAAAGCAGAGCGGTTGTTGCGAGAATACTTGAGCGAGAGAGAATACCTTAGAGAATGGAAAGAGAGAGCGGTGTTGTGCAGAAGTAGAATTTTGCGGGTGGAGGGGGGGGTAGAGAGTTGCAACACCTTTTGCGTGTGCTCGCTCGCTCTTTGACTGTGTCTGCCGCTCAGGGCCCGAAACGGCGAAGGCGAGGCCCGAGGCCGGCGAGGCCGCCCCCCTTTTCGTCTCCCCTTTAGAGACTCTTCGCTTAAGGGGCTGTGCCCATGGGCGGGTAGCGCAGGCAGAAGCTCGAGGAGAGTTGTCTCTTTTTGTTTTTAAAGGCTGCCGCGCGCACCCCCGCGTGCATGCGCGTTGTCGCACGACCGGGTCAGCTGTAGGTTTCATAGCCGAAACGCACGGATTTGGCGCGGGGTCCATAATTATGATGTCAAAGCCATGACGTTTCAACCCTATATAGGCCTTGAGATCAAAGACCTGAAAAATCTGAACAATGCCCAAGCCGCAACCTTACAATGGCGCAAAATGCCTCAAATCCCGCTGCAACCACGCCGCGGGACCCCCAGCCACGCCGAGAGAATGGCTATCCGCCCATGGGCCATCACGTCGGGCTTGTGAGCCAGGGCTTGATGATTGTTTGGGGAAACCAAGGCTGCTGATGCTCATGATGCGCGTCCTGGTCCCGGACCGAACCCGCTGATGCTCACGATGCGCACGCTTTGGCGTCCATGGCTACCCCAACATTACGCAAAAACACCAAAATGGGTGGGGTCTGCGGCGCTGCCGTCCGGCCTATCCGCGAGCCCACAGGGCGCATGGCACTGCCCGGTTTTAATGGCTCGCCGAGCCCCCAAATGCCCCGGCGCAGGGGGAGCAAGCGTGCAGAAGGTCATTAATGACAGAGCCGAAAAGAGACTCAGAAAGTTTGCAAATTGTTTAGTGAGCGAATGGAGTGATATCACAAGATTCAGAATCCCATGCCCGGGTGATATAACGAGATGCAGCCCGTAAGAAATCGTACCCCCTGTTTCGTATGCAAACTCACAAGAAATCGCACCCACTGTCTCGTATGTGAAATCACAAGATGCAGAGTCCAATTATCGGTGATGATCTCGTCGAAGGCGTCGCCAAACTTCTTCTGCGAGTGGAGCTGCAATGCGATCTTCCAAGCCATTGTGTCCGAGTAAGGCTTCAGAGTGGGGGGGAGGTAAGGGTGCGGGTTTGCGGCAGGGTTGGGGGTCAGGCAAGGGCGGCCCTTGCTTCCTCACCTGACCCCCACCCTACCCCCCTGCCTGCCCACCCCCTGCAGGGCGGCGGGCGGCAAGGCCAATAAGGGCGGCGGGGTTCGGGCATGCGCTGGAGCCCTTAAACAATTTAAAAAAGCAGCAGGTAGGGCGCCGCCCTTGGGTGTTGTTAAGGGGGTAGGGGGTAGGGTAGGGGGCAGGTGGAAGCGGGGGTGGGGGTGGGGCAGGGGGGCGAGAGTGGGCAATTCTCTGGGTGTAGAACGACAGTGTGGATCGTCACTGACGCCGCCCCCACTCCGGCGGAGAATTGGGAGGACCGAGAGAGAGGTCTCACGTATAGCATTGGGAGAGAAGCGCTAAGAAAAGAGCTTTAAAACAATGAGGGACCCAGAGAAGAGCAGAAGCGGAGGCTGAAACCCTGGCCTTCACCGGGCGTGGTGCTCAGACCATCATCCTTGTCTTGTTGAGAAGAGGATGCTTGTCTTGACAGGGAGACAGTGGTAGACAAAGAATCTCCTCTTTCTGGCAGCGCTTTCCCAAGCTTTCCTGATTCCATCGGTTTCATGAGTTGCAATATTCTAAGTGATGCATGTTGCTGTTCACAAGGAAATCCAGATACCCTCCAGGTCCCGAACGTATCCGCAGGGACAGGGACCGGCGCGCCTTTGGATTGTTCGTGCATGGAGCAATGCCGTGAGCTTCGTGTCTGGACAATGTCTGGTCTGGACAATGCCCTCTGCATCTCAAACTGTCTCCTGGTTGTGCTCGATTGGGGCAGTCCGGATGTTCGTGGTAAAGTTTCGCCCTTGGGCAATCCTGCGAGGACCCGGGAGGGCAACTGGAGTCGCGAAGCAAGGGGAAGCCGTGGAGGCGAGAAGAAGGGTCAAATCGTGATTGCGTCCGAAGTTGTGCGAAGTGTGCACTCGAAGTGTGCAGTCTTGACACTCTCTCGTCAGGAAAGGACTCGGGCGACCTCAGTGCTGGGAAGGAGAGCGGCTCGCAGGGCTCTGGCTCGTAGCGCTCTTTGTGTTTGCGTACACCGATTTAGCCGCCCCTTAGCCGCCCCCAGCACCGCCTTTTGGCCGACATCTTTCAGCACAGATTTTGGAGGCAATCTTGCTCTTGGAAGAGCTGGACGAGGTATCGCACCCAGCCCTCTCGCTCGCTTTCCTCTCCCTCTCCCTCTCCCTCTCCCGCTCCCGCTCGCGCTCGCGCTCGCGCTCTCGCTCTCGCTCTCGCTCTCAACCATTAAGCTCTCTTGTGCGATCGCTCCAATGCGTCACTTTGAGGTCTCTCAAAGCCAGGTGCTCAACTCACAAGAGGTTGTGGCACCATGAGAGATGGTTTTCGCGAAGGGGAGGGCGCCCTTTTTTGATGGCACGCTCGGTGTTCATGATGTTGCAACTTGCATTGCATTGCGTTGTGTGTCTCTCTGTGTGTGTGTGTGTGTGAACCTCTGTTTTCACAGAGTCTCTGAGAAGTTTCATTTCGCAGGGGGATGAGGGTCCCTTGGTGTGCCTCATCTAACAAAGACCGCACCAAGTGGATGTGATATCAGTGCCCGGCCAGCACTGACGTACCTGCAATCAGTTTCACGCATTTCCACGTCGGCCTGATTCGCTCAGGTTTGACTTGATCCAGACCTCTGAACGCAGAAACATGATAGGGATAACAGAGGGAGGATTCCATGAGTGTGTTCCAGGTGTATTTCGTTTATCGCTACACCTGCGATAGGGTTGCCTATCATTGATTGTCCCTGATCGGACCTCAGCAGATGAATGTCCTGTCGTGGACCTCAGAAATCGTAATGTCCTGAATGGACCTCAGATGAGTATGTCCTGATCGGACCCTGCTGATTGTCTTGAGTAGACTCCAGATAAATATCTGCCTGTCGTGACATGATTTTGTCAAGATGTGTTTTTTTGAAGCGCTGTGTCGGCAGCCATTTCTGCGAATCTAAGTGATCCTCCCGTGCCTACACCGGTACCATGTCTTGGAGGTCACATGATTCCAAACGCTCATGGGAGCAAACGGATTGGTCCCGTGACAAAGAGTGGCAACATTCTTGGTCGCAGCAAGAATCATGGGGTCAGCCAGCATCTTCCTGGCAGCATCAGCCTGATACGGCCAGTGCAACTGCTGTTGTTCCCAAGCCTCCAGTTCTCAAGATTCCGTCGACTTTTCAGTCTGATGAAGTGTTTTACGATCGTGCCACAGTGGGTAAGGGCAACCACCAATTGTTTAAAGTCATACAGCCCACTGAGTGGAGCCGCAAGAACGGTCTCGCGATTGAAGACCTTCGAGTCTATGAGATGACGCACCGCGGCATCCAAGATTTCAGTTTACGTGTGTTGTCAGAAGGTCGGTGCCAAGGCATTACTTGGACACGAAATGTTTCCGAAGCAGTGTTTGCCAATGCCTTGTTTAAGAAGCTGCGTGACAGCGGTGTCGATATTGACACAGTTGCTGCCTCATTCTTCGAATCTTCCCCTCCTGACAAACACAAGGAGTCTCGCCCTTGATTGACAATATTGTTGATTCAATGAAAGCCCGACTTCCCACCACTTCTTCTGGAACAAATGAAGAAGTCCAGCAAGAACTTCAAAGAGCCAGAGCCATGGCCGCTCACGGCATTACTCTCACGCCTCAGAAGAGGTCGGCCAGAAACCTCCCGAAGATTTGCAAGCCGAACAGTCGGAGTCAGCAAAGCTACTCTCGGCTCCTCCAATTCGAACCATTTCGACGGCGCCGCCGACACTGAACCGATAGAGGCGGCGACGACCAGGAGGGAGAGCAGCCGGGACGCCACCCCCCAGTGCCAGCCATTACCGACGAGTCTGAGGCGGGCGCGTTCGTCGGCACCTGCCGCCGCCGTGTAACCGACGGGCATGTGGTGCAGCTGCTCCCTCACCTCGGGGGTGGGCAGCCGTAGGTGGCCCCTCTCGTCGGTCATCATGGCCTCCCGACGGCGCAAACCGGCGGGAGTCCTGGAGCCAGCGCTCGCGGACCTCCTGGGGTATCACTCTGCTGGACGATCCTGCGCCAACTCTGTTCGGGCCCCGCTCCCAAGGCGCCACGTCTTGGATGAGGCCATTCAGCCCACTCACTCCCCCGACCCTAGCACCCGACAAGGAATTCACTGCTGGGTGTCCCTTGGCTTCCGAGGGTAGCGAGCTTCGGCTGGCTTTCGTTTTCTTGAGTGGCATCCCTTCGTCGCTGCGCCAGCAAGTCGACCTCTCTGACGTAGGCTAGCGTGACCGAGGCGCGGCCGCTCCTTGAGCAAACACCAGCATTCCCAGTAAGTGTCAGGTGTTCTGCAGCCAAAGGCAGGTCTCAGGAAATTCAGGCGCCGCTAATGCCAGAAGCTCAAAGGCCTCAAGCTTCCCAGGACAAGCTGGAAACCACCCCAAAGCAAACCCCCCGATTCAGGCTGAGAATGGGGGGTTGCTCCTAGGCAGCCAAGGCTCATGCGCTGATGCTGGCAGATCCAGCGCGCAGCTGCACCTCTCCAACTGCTCCTCTGCGTCAAGCTCTGCATGCCCCCTTTGCACCACGAACTCCTAAAGGCCAGGCTCCTTTCAAGGCAGGCCAGCAGGACCCCCAGGTGAGCAATGGCTCTGCGAAAGGACCACGTCCTCTTCCCTTTGCCAGTACCATACCCTTTCCGTTTAAGTGCGACCCGGCCTTTCCTCGAACAAGAGGGCGCTTCTAGGCCGGAGGCGCCTCCTGCGCATTATGATCATGGCACTAAATTTCATCTACTGTGATTTCTCTTTTGAGCCCCTCGAGCTTTTGCAGAGACGGCCAAACCGCTCGCGGGCCCGGTGTCTGTCCTATCACGAGGCGCTCTTGAGGACGTACGGTAGTGGTCAGGAAGATGTTGTTCCATCCGCCACAGGCCGTCGAATGAATGTCCTGCAAGCACGCTTGTCCGAGTCCACCCACATGACTCAGCTTGGAGTCCCTGGAGATGCCTATCATTGGTCGTTGGCCGGCCAAGTTGTGGCTCCCGACACAGTTGACGAAGCACTGAGGCCCTACAGGCCCCTTGACGCTAGCAGGCTGAAGATCAGTGGAAAGGCAAATTGGGACCCGAGTCCGTGGCTCACGCCAGATTTGTGGCTTGCTTTTGTCGAACCGCGCAGTCTTTCCCTGCTTGTGCAGCCTCCCATTCCAGCCCATGCCGACTGTCGGAGGGAGGACCCTGAGCAGACTCTGAGAGGGCCGTCAGTCTCTCTCCCTTCTACCACCAAATGAAAGTCACAAGGCAACGGGCTAGCACTAACAGGCTTTACCAGAGTTATCCTCCGCTTTCGAGGGCACCGCCGCTCTTTCGGAACTGCTTGCTGAGATCGAGAAGGGGTCTGTCCCCTTGCCAGTGCCTGAGGATCCACTTGCGGCACCGCGGAAGCCCAAGAAAAAGTGCCCCCTTGCTGTGCAACCTTCTGCGCTTCAGTGCTTCAGGGCGATCATATCGGCGTCGAAATCGCCACATGCAGCCACGCTGCCCTACTTCAAAGCGCGGGGCTACTCGACTCTCGCTCTCGCCATGCCGATCTGGGAATCTGACATCCATGATGGCCTCGTCATAGACGATTTCTTCTGCATAGCTAAAGTGCCTCGCCATGGTTCGGCTCCCAATGGTGCAGGCCGCACTGTCGAAGGGGCCTTGGATGCTTCCCTCGAACGGCTCCGTGTTGCACATGAAGTCTATCAGCGTGAGGGAATCTCTGGACGAGCTGAAAAAGACGTTTTAGCTCAGGACTTTGCGAAAGTCGCAGGGGCGGAGGTTGATAGCACAAAGCAGGCGCTTGAGGCAGGAGTATGCACCGTTAGGGCGCCAAAAGGGAAGAGGTCGTGTTGGCAGACCTCACCTTAGAGACCGCCATTTTGGGGACCTCTACTGATGCCCTCCTTGCATGTCTCCTTGGTGGCTGGACCTCTGTCTTCTCCTACCGCAGGCCTGGCTTCTGTGTCTTCGATGAAGTTTTCCGGGTTGCTCCTGGGACGAACCTCGATCCTTTGAATCCTAAGACCTCCCGAGATCTGCTGCCCAGGAACTTGTGCTCGCGGCCGCGCTAGCGCCTGTGATCTCCGCCGATATTGCTGTCCCCTACCTGGACCGAGTCTTCGCCACAGACTCATCGAACTCCAAAGGTGCCATAGTCTCCGCTCCTATCAACCTGCCTCTCTCGCGCGCCCTCTGGGCAGTTTCTGACAGGAAAGGTGCCTACGCGCGGCTTGCCATGAAAGCGCAGAGCAGCCTGCGCCTTGCTGACCCAGACTGGGAGGAGCTTGCGCAGGAGGCCCCCTCCACTGAAGGGCCGCGGCGTCCGCTTGCTTTTGTGTTTGATGTGCTCGAGCTTTTCGCCGGCTCAGCCAAGATCTCTGCAGAGATGTCGTCCAGGGCGTGGGTCGTCGGTCCCCCCATTGACATCAACCGCTCGCCTTTCTACGACCCGAAGCAACCGCAGCTCTTGTTATTCATCTTATTGAGAATGATAAGGTTAGGCTCATGTTTATCTTTCCGGTAGGCACCACCTTCTCTGCTGCTGCGAGCCCTGTGCTCCGCGACCGCTCCAATCCTAGGGGTTTCAATCCTACCAAGCCCAGAACCTTTAAAGGCACCCTCCTCGTTCTGAGAGCTCTTGCCCTAGCGACTCAGTGCCACTCGGCGAAGGTCCTTGCCGTTGCTGAGCAGCCCCGTGCTTCCCTCATGAGTTGCCTTCCTGAATGGGGTCGCTTAGTTGCAAAGGGTGGGGTCTATGAGACCTGGACCTCCTCTTGAGCTTTTGGGTCGCGGCACCTTAAGCAGTTTCAGTTCATAGGCGTAGGGGTTGACCTTCGTGCTGTCCATAAAAAGTGTACATGTGAGTCTGGGCGCAAGCGTCTCCCAGTCAAGGGTCGCCTCGCCAAAGCTTGAAGTGCCTACACGCCGGGACTCGTGCACGCGCTCTGTGAGATCCTCAGTTCGGCTTTGAAGCGCCGTAACCGCCTTGCTGAGGCTGTTGACATCAAGGTTGCTGGTCTTGAGAGGTTGGCAGCCACAGACCTTGCGGTCTCTTTGCCCTGGAGCGTTGACGATGTGTGGTCTTGGAGGAATGAGGTGGAAATGAACATCCTTGAGGCTTCTGTGTTAGCAAAGCTATACCAGCGCATTGCCGTGAGCCACGGGCCCTCCAGGTTTGTCAATCTGTGTGATTCCAGCCTCACCTGGCCTCCGCCATGTTACCAGGAGGGCCTCTGCCATCGCACTTGCCGCAGGCCGCTATCCTGGCAATCTTTATTGTCCTACCCGGGCAATCCCAGCAGATCACCCCACGAGAGACAAGGAGTTCTCGGCCCCTCCTTCTGGACTGAAAGCAGGGTAGTGCATGATGCCCTCAGGCCTCGCTTGCGGAGATGGGCCGCTAACTGGTGCCGTCTTGTTTTCTGTCTCCTACCTTCCGTTGCTGACTTGCCAAGCTGGCGTGACGAGGCCAGGCACCCTTCTCGATCCTTCCGGGCCTTCACGCATATCGCAGACTTTGACTCTTCTCTTGGCTTTCCCAGCGAGGGCCCTCCGTGGCTTGGTTTGCCTCTACCTTACCCCCTAAGCCCCTTCGCCCCTTCCCCGGTTCAGGGTTTGAGGGTCTTGTCTTTGTCCTGTCCTGTCTTCCTGGGGTTGTCGCCATGGGTGCGCGCGTTGCCCTGGCCATTGAACAGAGGAAACAACGGAGGTTCGGTACTTCGCTCGCGGCAGGGAGGCCAGTGCTTAAGATCACTAGAGATCGACGCCTGAAGCTGAAGGACTCGCTAGAGAACTGGCTCACTTTGCAGCACCGAACCTGGAATGGGTTACCGGCGTGTAGCCAGGACTGACGTTAACGGTTTCAACGAGTTGGTGATTTCTTATGGACAATGGCTGTTTTCCGAGGGTTCCCATACTACCACTACGCTGAGACCGTAAACTTGCTGAGTTCGGAGTTTCCTTTCCTGCGCAGACTGCTGCAGCCCGCCTGGGATTTAGCTTTCGCCTGGCAACGGGAAGAACCCCCAGTTCACCATTCAGCTCTGCCTTGGCAGATCCTTCTTGCTATGCTTGCAATCTGCGTGACATGGGGTTGGATAGATATAGCTGGTCTCCTCGCGCTCAGCTGGGGTTTGGCCCGGATCGGCGAGGTCCTGGCGGCTTGCAGGGCCGACCTGGTCCTGCCAAGCGACACCGGCGAGGGGCTACGTTCTTCTCGCGGTCCGAGAACCAAGGACGAGGTTTCGGGCCGCAAGGCATCAGTGCATTAAGGTCCAACCTCAGCTGGTTAGCATCATCCAGCTTGCTTTCTCAGACTTGAGGCTTGACCAAAAGCTGTGGACTTTTGCGCCTTCTACCCTCCGCTCACGTTTCAACGGGCTGCTGGCTGCAGTGCGTTTGACGCCGGGGCTTGTCCCGGGAGTCAGAGATTTCGACCTGGGATCGCTGAGGGCCGGCGGGGCGTGCAGACCTCGGAGTCCCCTGATGTTGTCAGGAGGAGGGGAAGGTGGATCACCTACATACAGGAAATTGGGGCGCTCCTGTATCTGCCACGGTTAGACAGCGACCATCGTGGCTACATTTTTGCTTGGGCAAACTCTTTTGGTGAGGCTTTGGAGTTTGCCGCCTTGTGCACCCGTTGGCGTCTGCCTCGAACGGGCTGGCACTACTTTCTGCAGCACGGCGCTTTGATGCCAGTCAACAATGGGAATGCTTTAGAAGATGGGGGTGTGCAGTTCAACCGCTTGCGCGAAGCGCGGCATGTACCCCACAACGAGGCGGAAAATGGAGACATGAGTCCTTGAACAGTAAGGATGATTGTTGACTTCCGCTGCGCTCAAGCTCCCGCCGCACCCGGCGCCCGTGTGCAGTTCAACCGCTTGCGCGAAGTGCGTGCGCGAAGCGCGGCATGTACCCCACAACGAGGCGGGAAAATGGAGACATGAGTCCTTTTATAAGCAGCAACGCTGTGTACATCAAAGCACCAGTGGACTGGCGCCTTTTTAATACCATTTCAACCTACCGGCAGCCTTCCACATTCTTGTACATAGGATCGACTTCACAGTCCATTACTACGCGTGAGTCCAATCGTATGTCTGTCTTTAAAAGACTACGAGAGCATCACGAGGTGCAAGCAGAACTGTCTATCAGGTTCTGGCGCCAAGAAGACAATTTTGAACAGTTTTCCATTATTCAGGTTGCAACGTGTTCCACGTACAAAAAAGCCTGGGTGATGGAACACATATTGATCGGTGGCAGCCAAAACTTAATTTTCCTTTCATTCAGATTTTCCTCAAACGTACTGCTCTAGGTTTTCGTCCAGGACGAAGAAGACGCTGGATGGAGTTTGGCCGATTTGGGCTAATATTGTGGCGCAAACTTCGCAAACGTATGTTGGCGCTCAATCAGCCTCAGAACATTGCACGATCTCGCCAACAGGCGTGGGAACTTTTGTACGATTTGTCAACGTTCTCTGAAGCCAGCTACAGAGCATGCCGGATAATCCGGTCACATCAGGTTACTGATATCGAAGTGTACGCAATGGTGCGACTGTCCAATTCTCTGGAGCAACCAATCAAACACGGCGTACGCAAGTTGTTACAGTCCGCTTTAAAATATCGGAAGATCTCCTGGCCGGTTTCGAGTCTTCCTCTCCGTCTACCTTTCTTGGCGCACGATTCCTGCAAATATACAACAGTGGCTTCGACGTCAAGTTTTTCAATTCAAGCATCTGCTGGTTCCGTTTCATCTTCCCAGCGCAAAGGTCAGAGAAGCGCCTCATCAGTCCATTGCTGAACATCTTCACAATGTGCGCGACTGGAACGTGTTTTTTGAAGACAGCCAGCTTGAGTGTTCACAGCTTCCCTGTCCGTGCCTCTGGAATAAAGACAAGCTACCAGATGACGCGTTTTCTGATGGGCACGTTACTGCAGGATTGGAGCAATTTGGGGAAATTGAGCCATCTGCCAATAAGCTGTCTCAAGGCAGTGCTCTTTCCTCCTTCTTCCCTGCTCAAAGCAAGTACTTAGACTTGGCGTGTAAAGCATTTGACCGATGGCGTTTTAAGCACGGCCTCCCTCTCGAAACGACTGAGTCCTTTCGACTGTTTATGTCTTCGCAATGGCCGCTGCGTTTGGATGCTGTTTATGCGCAACATCGGATTGTCTGGAAAGACCACAGAGGATCAAGGACAAACTCGGCAGCAAGTTTGTCATTCACAATGAAGATCATCACAATGGTCATCTTATGCTGTATTGCCCGCGGTTTTTCTTTTACCAGCATCTTCCGAACTTGGGATGACGCTTCAGTTTTTCAGCCACTAGTTGGAATGGAGAGATCATATCAAATCCATTGTTCCCCGAAATCTACAGAGGAAATATGCCTGGGGATTCCAGTTGCAGAAATCCTTGGCAGTCGGATTCGTTTTTCTGAAACGGAAGAAGTCCTTTGCCAAAGGCATGACCATCATTTCGTACTCCCAGAGTATAATCCGCAGAATTCTGGTTGGTGCTTCTCAGTGTATTTCTTGCATGATTGAAGCAGTGTGGCATGATGGATTGCCACCGTCAAATATGCCCACCATCTGGCGGCATATCCACGCATTTCTGCAACAAGCTCATCCTACTGAGCACATTCTTGAAGACAATGACGACTTGATCGGTTTTTTCAACGCAGTTCCCACTTACAAGATTTTGGACGCGTTGCGTATTCTCATCTCTGAGTATTTGAGCCAGGGTCATCCCAAGAAATTCTCGGTGACGCTCAGCCCGAAGTCCGACAAAGACAAAGTTTTTCAAGGGAAGCCAAGAGGAGGCAGTTCCACGCGTTTGAAGAACATGAATATTCATGACCTGTGTCAGATTGTACAGCTCAGTTTCAACTGCGGCATTTTTCAGGTCGTTCACAAAGTGTACAGACAAATCCGAGGAACGAGTGTTGGCAACCAAATATCACCAATACTCTCATCGCTGCCGATCATTCTCGCTGAAAGGACCTGGCTGAAGTCTTTTCAACACCAAGTGTTTCAAGGCCAGTTAAGTCCAAGTATGGCTCTCCCAGCGCTCATTGTCAGATATGTGGACAATCGGCTGGTACTGCCGAACGCTGCTACAAGATCTTGCAGTCATTTGCAGACGTTCTTAGATGCCCATTTTTATGAAGACCCTATTGAACTTGAAAAGGTCACTGACCACATGTGGTTCGGATTTCGTGTCAATGCCCCGGACCGGTCTGTACAGTATGTTCTTCCGGTTCAACCATGGCAAACTCGCATAGTGAACAGTGCAGGCTCGTGGCAAGCGAGAACAGCTGGATATAGATCCCGAGCAGCACTTATTCGCATGTATTCGTTTCCAAAGAGCAGTGTTGCTGCTCAACTGCAAGCCTTACATGCTTTGTACAGACGCAGAGGCTTTCCGTCAGAAGTTCTACGCTGAACTGCTTGCGTGTGACATGCTTTGTGCAGACGCAGAGGCTTTCCGTCAGAAGTTCTACGCTGAACTGCTTGTGACATACTTTGTACAGACGCAGAGGCTTTCCGTCAGAAGTTCTACGCTGAACTGCTTGTGACATAAACAAACAGTTCTGGTTGAGTCGTGCGAGTGTCTGAGTCGTGCTTGACTTTGTCTTTGTTAACGCTGCGTGACAAGACGCACAATGCGAGGGCTGCGTGCGGGAGTACCCCACGTAGAGGACCGGGGGGGTGGACGGCCCCACGCTCGTTTTCCCCCTGCGGCGTCCAAGCGACGACTACGGGCTGCGCGGCTGCGCACGGGAGCGCCCGGCGTAGAGGAGGGGGGGCGTTGACGGGCATGGCTGCGTCTTCGTCCCGCGGAGTCCAAGACTGCGGCGTAGCCGCTCCACAGTTTTCAGCTTTTATCACGCCGTGTGAATTGGCCATTTCCATTTCTTACTTTGGCTCTGTTGGGAGATGTTGATGGTGCATGCCTTGCTGGGTTTCGCAAGGGCACACTTTTGTGTGTGTGTGTGTGTGTGTGTGTGTGTGTGTGT